AAAACCAGAAAAAAATGAAGGCGAAAATGAGAAAGGGCAGTCGCTGATTCACAGAAGACTCAGCAGAATTTTCTGGAACAATCCAGTAGTGGATCGAGCACAAGCTCTGATACCATGTTAGTTTGAGAGAAAAATAACCGACTGATATGGAGGGAAACAATTTTCTCTTCTCTTGTAATGTACTGTACAATACCTTTTATATACAAAGCAAAGTGATGAAAAAATGAAAGTAAAATGCCTAACTAACCGACCTATCTACCACTAACTGAGATACGTGTAATTACATAATTAACCTTGGAGGCTTCTAGAAACTAGGGTAATAACAAAGTGAAACTATGTTATTTCACTTCCATCTTCTGTGAAATGTATCGTCGCCTTTAGCTCTTTAGAAGAGCTGGTACCACTGTCAACAGTTTTCAAGCTGCTATATATTGAAATCGTGCAAGCTATTTGGATAGAAAGGAATCAAAGGATCTTCGAGCAAACGAGTGAAGATTGGATCGCCATTGCAAAAGAGATAGTCTTTATGTGTTGTACTAGATCATCTGTTAAAACTAGAAGCTATTTTCAGACTTGTTTGTTTCAAATTTCTCTAAGCTAGCAGATAGAGGTATAGATAGTTTTCTTGTCTTTAGATAGTTAGTTGAGTTAGCTAACTATGGCTTTGTACAGTTTATCCTTGGTGGTTAATAAAAGTTTAATTACCAGAAAGAAAAAAAAAGAAGGGTAAGTCCAAAATAGTAAATCCAGTAAAAAGCAGCCTACGAGTCGAAAAGATTTAAAAAAGAAAGGGGCCCGTAGAAAGAAATTTCTCTGAGAACTGTAAATTTTGTTTATTTGGCAAATAAAACTAGTAGTCTTGTTTTTGGAGTTCAGGTAGTTTTCATTAAAAAAAGAACATCGAAAATTCCTTGAATGGAAAAGTATTTATGATGTTTTACCGTATTAGTAATTACTAAGAGCCCGTTTGGACATAAGAATTTTTTCCCATTTTTCAAAAAAAAATTTATTTTTTTCGAAATCTGTGTTTGTTCATAAAATTATCAATTTTCACTTGAAGATGTATTATGAAAATTTTTGAAAATTTGAAAAACTCAAAAAAGCTGTTTTTCAAAATTTTCACTCAAATTACTCACAAAACTTCAAAAACAGCCCAAAATTATATTCATGTCCAAACACAACTTCTAAGTTTCAAATACCATTTTCACTTAAAATAATTTTTCACCCTATTTTGAAATTTTGCATTTCTTATGTCCAGACGCCCACTAAGTATGATAAAAGTTTATAAGTAACTATAATCATATAAAATATTTATATGCATGAAATAATTTCGACGCGCTACTTATCATAAGGTTTAGCAAAATCTTCCGCTAGTTAAAAAGTGACACATTTTCCATGAAAGTGACCATGAAATGTCTTGAGGACCACTTTGTTGGTCTATGTTTACAATTAATTTGTTATACTTTTTAAATTTAGCTAAACTTTTATAAAGAAAAATCTAAGAACGATTAAACTTAATTAATTACCAACCAATCCCATCTGTTGATAGTTCATAAGACTTTCTCCATCAATAAGCTGATAATGACAGCTTCGTGTCTTTATCTATCGTCACCAATAACAATAAGTCAAGTGGATCAAATTTTAGTACTACTACTATTATTAATAACTAGTGGTCGTACCCGCGCAATGCGCGTCAATACTAAAAAATATTACTTAAATTCAGTTTTGATCGGGCTTGTTTGAACATTAGATCGTATTGCTTTATTAAGTTTCATTTCATCTTATTTGTCAATATGATATATCCAATAATAAAAATTATTAAATTAAAGGGACTCTTTTTAAAAAATTAAAGGGACTTATATAGTCATTGAATAACTTTTTTGTTCTGTATTTTTCTTTACTATATTATACAATGTTTAGTATTCTTACATTGTTAATAGAAATTTTTATTAGCATATTCCTTTGTTTAATATTTTGTCGTATAGTTTATTACTCTTGAAATATTTTTTATTTTGAAGTATATTCTATTGTTCACAATAATATTTTCTGAATTTTAATGAATAAAATCTCTAATAAATTGAAGGGACTTATAAAGTCATCGAATAACTTTTTTGTTATGTATATTTCTTTATTATACTATCCAACTTTTAGTATTATTACATTGCTAAAAGAAATTTTTATTAGCATATTACTTTGTTTAATATTTTTGTCTACTACTTTCCTTTTGTAATAATAGAAGATCTATATTTTATTACTCCTAAAATATTTTTTTATTTTAAATTTTATTCTATTGTTCTCAATAATATTGTCTGAACTTTAATGAACAAATATACTTTTTATTATTTATAAAAAACGAAAATGATTTAAACAAAAGAAACAAAGAATTTAACTAACGTAAACCAACACTCACCAATGTTGAGTAGTTAATTTTAGGTAGTTAATTTTTTTATCTCTTTCTCTTATTTTATTTTATTTTTTTAAAATAATTTTTGAGTCTTCAAATTTGTATGAGGTTTGTCCTAAAGTGTGACACTTGTTAAATTTTTGTTGTTACACTTGGATATAGGCTATCATATTAGGAAGAAACTATTCCCAAATTTGAATTAAATTTTTTTTTATTTTTTTATTTAAAATAAATTTAAAACTCCAACTTAATCTACTCCCTGAATTGGCAATTTTTTATTTTTTATCTTATTTTTAATTTTAAAATAATTTTGAAACTCCCACGTTGTTGGAGCTTTGCCTAAAAAATCTACACATGTCATCGTATGGTTATGCCACTTGGCATCATATAATTATTTTATTTCTCTATTCATACATACATATATATATATATATATATATATATATATATATATATATATATGAGGAAGAAACTACTCCCTATTTTGAATTGGTAGTTTTTTATTTTTTCTTATTTTCGAATTTTATAGATATTTAAATTCAAAAACAATAACCACTAACTAATTTTAACTAAATAACTAATTATGTGATGTGATTTTTTTCTAGGATGCCACTTGGCTTAATGCTTTTTCTTCAGGCATAGTTAATGTGGTGACTTTTTTTTGAGTGTTTTCAGAAATTGAATTTGTAAAATGATATATTTCTAATATTTTAATCTTAAAATAACTAAATTAAACGTTTTCACAACAGTTAGGATATCTTTAAGCTTTTTTCATAATATAACATCCACATAAAGGTATTTTACTAAACTTAAATTTTCTCTAAGCAAAGCAAAAAATTCTAACCAAAACATAACTTTAAGTGAAATAAAAAGAAATGGATATGATGACACAACACTAAAAAGTCAAAAACTAAAACGTCAAACCAAAATTTTTCGTTTTTCACATTAATCAATGTACAAATAAAAATTAAACAAAACTTTGTTCGGAACACCCCAAAGATAACAGAGCAAGAAAATACACAATCTTCATACCTTATCCATGAAGGGGTTTCAAGAAAATTGCTTGGCATTCTGGTAAAAAAAAATCAAAACATAAAATTAAAAGATGAATGTAAATAAACTCAAAAATAAATGGTCAAAACATCATGAAAAAACTACAATACCGGTAAATTATTAATGAAGACGGCACAATTACCGTAAATAAACTAAAATACCGATAAAATATCTTGTATTCTTGCTCCAAAATCAAAGCAAACTTTAATATAACTACTAACAAACAATCAATTTCTCATCAAGTATTTCCATAACATTATTTCATACATTTCAAAAGTAAGCCAACTATCAAAGCTAATGAAATCTTCAAAATTAATATTTATGAAGAAAATTATTAATCCCAAAGGAAAAATTAATTGTTGAAGAAAGCAGAATTATAAAACTGAAATGGATAACAAAGAGAGACAAAAATGACAATTTAACAACATAAGGCTGGTCACCATGGCTGAGGAAGAAATTTTGGAAGAAAGAATTGATTAGTAAAGGATTTGAGAGGAGATGAGCAAAAAAGGAAGATGGACCAGGTATATAAGAAGATTGGGTAAGATGAGAATTTAATGTGTAACTGAAAATTTATGTAAGGAATTTGAATAGAAAATGGGAGTTAAATGGAGTATGGAACTGTAACCCAAATGTTATGCAAAAATTGAAAGAAAATTCAAGTTTAACCACAGCTGAACTGTTGGAACCGTTACACTAATGGAAAAAATAGATATTTAAAGTAGACAAATGAGATAAAATAGCAAAAAATTGACAAAATAGATAAATATCTTTCAAAGCCTAAGAGAGGTGTCACATAGGCATTCCTATTCCCTCCTTTATATAGATATATAGATTAATAATTGGTACATCCCACCTAAGTCTTTAAACTCGAATGCATTTTATTTTAAGAGATTTTTTTCTTCCTATACCATATATGAAACTTTATTACCAAATATGTACATAGTATCTAAATTACCCGTCTAGTCCACATTTTTCCTACAATTTCTATACCATTCGTTTATTAGGAATTAATAGGGCAGAATCTTCCCTTAATAACGCGCGAAAAATCAGGAAAGAATTTTGGGATTGATTTATTCTACATTAAATTCAAGTTTTGAAACGGAAAGGAGATTTCGCATCTGCGTAATTTACTCTTAAACTACAATTCAAAAATTTAAAAAAAAAAGTACGAACACCTTCAACAAACTGAATTCAAATCTTCGAGATTCAACAACTCAAAATTGCTATATTTTGTTCTTCGTCGTTTTCAGAAATCAAATTGGCGATCATATATCTGTTCTTCATCTTTTTTTCTCTCAATCTAGAAATCCAAAAAAAAACGAAAAAATTTAGATTAATACATCAGCAACAACACGCAATCAAGTCAAAAATCGCAATCATGCTACAATTGAATGGGAATTGGGATAACTATGGCAGATTTAGAGATTTTGAAGTTGATGCCATTGTGGTAGATGAGAATGCAAGCTACAGTATTCTGATTTCTACAATTGCAGAACAACTATCGATTGATACTTCAGAAAAAATTATATATATCAAATACATGGTGAACGACAATTGTCCCCCAATGGAGATTAGGAATGATATGGGGGTTCGTGTGTATATGGAGACCAAAAAGGAGAATAAAAACTTAGGTTCATATCCGTTATGTATAAGTGTACGAGATTTCAATATGGAATTGGCAATCACCAACGATAACACAAGTGCAGGTTTGTATAGTTCGAAATTGCATAGAATTATGGTTTTACGGTATTATCTACAAAATTACTACATTTGCCTACAATTAAACTACAAATCAGTTTAATGAAAGAATAAAGCAATTTTGTTTTCAAAATTATCTACAAAGTTACTACATTTATACGACAAAATAAACTACAATCTATGATTAGAAATTGTTGATTTCAAAATGTTGTCTTTAAATAAATTATCTACAAAGATTCTACAAATT